AGGAAAGAGCTCTGTGCTCTGCAGCGGGTTAATAGGCTCTTTTTTCTTTGGAGATGCTACAGTTCCTTTTCTGTCCCCATAATCCTCAACCCTCAAGTGTCAGTGTGGGTTTGTTAGAGCCCTGTGTTTGGACTGTAATTTGACGGAGAGTCTCCTGTGCCAGTGCTGCTGGCCCATCCCCAGCTCCATCTGGGCAGTGGTGGTACACGCAGGGCTGAGCACGAGGGGAAGGGACGGCTGTAACCCTGCACTGGTTGTGCTTCTTACTGCAGGGAATTCAAAGCAATCTTCTTGAAGTGTTGGTTTGGAAGTGTTGGTTGGGAAATGTATGTGACCCTAGGCACAGACACCTAGGGTTAATGTGTTATCAGTGTTACACCAACGAACATTATTACCTGCCAGTGAGGTACACAAACATAGTTTTATGAAAAGTGCCCTCCATCAGTCTTCTGTTTTATTTTAAACAACTGAAATCATGAAGGGCAGCTGGTAATCTACATTAAAGCAAGACAGTGCTGGGCTATGTTTCCACTTGAGTGCTTAAATACCTGAGAGGTTCTTTTGCAGGTTTGCTCAGGTGACCGTGTCATCTTTATGTGCAGCTCTGAGGGTCTCTTGGCCAGGCCCAGAATGGGAGGGGATGCAGGCCAGACTTGATTACTAATTACCTTCATTCTGAACTTACACTATTTGATGCTTGAATTCATCTGTTTTTAAAACTGTGATTAGGCTTTGTGGATCTCGCACTGATACACGGGTGTCGGGCTGGGAAGCGCTCCACTCCCAGGGAGGGTTTCGGGGAGGCGGTGGTTCCTGCGGCCGCAGGGTGTTCCGAGAGGTGGCAGGCAGGCCTGACAGGCCTGAGGCTTGACACTGCCCTTCCAGAGAAATTCTGCCTTTGCTTACTCTCCTTCCTAGCGCTTGCTGATCTATCGTGCTGTATTGCAGCGTGAAATGCCTGATTCAGTTCTAGATTAACTTGGTCTCTCCTTCACAGTGTAGATTTACCAGGGATCTCTGCTGGGGAAATCAAATGGAGCGCCTGGCAGGCGATAAAGTCATCGGGGAACATTTTGTGTCATCCTGCTGAAGCATATTGGGTCTCATCACCAGCTAAAGATCAAGATGCTGCACTGAGCTCATTTGTTTCGGCAGTGAAACAGGAGCATGTGAACACAGCCGAGACCTCGTCACGGCGCTGGGCTGGCGCCACAGCGAGCAACCCCACAGACGAGAGCACACCTGGTGTGATTTACACCAGCTGCGAATCTAGTTCCCTGCATTCACTTTTTTGTGCTCTGCGCACTGGTAAAATGAGTAGTTGAGGGTTTGCTAGGTAGTCAAACTTGCTATTTTTTCTCAGTCTTGGATCAAGAGAGCAGCAATACTGCCTAGAAGCTGGAACTGGAGAGTTCAATATTTTTTCCACCAGAACACCATTAACTGGAAAGGGGATAAAGTGATCTGTAATGCAAGCTCTTGTCATGTCTGTCTGCTGAGCTGTCAGTTTGTCAGGCACGGACACGAGACAGTGTTCATAGAGGAACGGGTTACACTTGTCTCTCCCTGGTTTGTGCCCCTGGGATGAAATGATGCTGCAGCACGGCTGGACTAACTGTGACACTGGCAATCTTTCTAGTTTGTTAGATTAAAGCGGAAAGGAGGCGCATGTAGAGCGATCATCTTAAAAACATTTGAGAAGGGGGAGATGAATACTGGGACACCCTAGGGTGTCCATTGGGGCCTCCAGGAGCTGTGCAGAGCTCTGCCTTCAGAGGCCAACAGGAATTTCTGCCTGCCAGGGAAGAGGTTTTCCTCAGTCAGGACCTGCATAGTGTTCTGGTTCTACTTCTCTGCATGGATTCACATTTTCTTCCAGGTAGTCAACTCCATCCAGTGTCCTCAGGAGCAATTTTTGTAGGCTGTTTGCACAGCAGGGCTCAGCTCGTGAGTTACCAGCAGCTGCCTCAGTCACCAGGGGCCCGGGGAGGAGACTGCCTCCAGCAGAGCAGGTCAGGAGCACATGAGCAGGGCAATCCCCAGCACCTGCAGGAAAGGCCGTGGCTCTGATCATAATGGCCGAGGAGGGCTGGGAGGCAAGATGAGACTGTCCAGCCCAGTGAACAGTGAATGTCTTTGCTGTGAGTAATTGGCTTGTGGCTCCGAAGAGCCTCTCCTCTTCCCTAACTGCTGAAGCTTCTGTCTGCCCTCGACTCCTGATCCTTGCATCTGCCCTTGCTGGCCTTCTGCTTTTGTTCTCTTTTTCAGCTAATCACTCTCTGTCTTCTGTCCCTTGATCCTGCCATGTAAAACACTGGCTGTACGTAATAAAATCAATGAAATTCCTACTCAGACATGACATGACAGACCAACCAGTGGAGTCTGAGCAAGGCAAAACCAGCCTATAATTAACACCTCTTAGGGAAGTGCAGCAAGGTTGTCACTGCACAGGGGCACAGGGACATGCCCAGTACAGACCTGCTGGCTCCCTGGTGCTTGGCTTGGCTTTCAGGAGCCCGAGTTTTGTTGGTTGCACGTCCTTCTCTGTAAGGAGATGCAGGGTGACAGCTTTAGCTTGGTGGCAGCTTCCTGTTTCAAAACAGAGTTCACCGCAGGCTGCTTCCAGGTGTCCCCTGGAGGAGGCTGAGTTTAGGAATTTAAACCGTCCGCTTTTCAGAATCAAACTAATCTTGTCCTGTGTGCTTCAAGCAGACTCCTCCCAGTGCATTCAGACCCATGAGACTTTTTAGGCTGAAGACCTTGGTCTGTTTTCTGTCGTTATTTTCTAATAAGTTCTTCTATAGATACACCATTATACTAAGATAATGAAAGTAAATATTGGTTCTTGATACAGAAATGAGTCTTTACATACCAAAATTGTTTTGGTACTAAAGGTTTGAGAATTTATTAACCATTAACATTCATGTGCAATCAAAACATACCTTTTTTCCTACTAGTTAGATGTGTTGTTAAATTTGACTTTCCATAAATGGTTGCCAGTAGCTTAATCGAACAGTTGACTAAATATATTAACGGACTTTGCTTCACTGTAATTAGAGACCTATAAAGTATGTTTTAGCAAGTTGAAAGTGTTAATACAGGCCCACACATTTTCAGCTCTGTAGCATTACTTAGGCTGCCAGAGTGTGGAGACCAGGACTAAACCTCACAGTGCTCTTAAAACAAACCAAGAAATCACACCTGCTTTGTGGGGGTTGGTGGGGCAAACTGTGCTTCAACACTGCGGTTAAAGTCCCGGATTATTTCAGCTGCGCAGTCTCTAACCACTTTGTAATCAGGAACTGTGAACGTTGTTAGTTTTCCTTATCTTGTAGAGACGTTCACGCTTGGAAACAGCTTTCTGCTCTGTGTGGCACTGCGCTGACAAACTGTCTCGAACTCCTCTGCTGCTGGTGTCTCAGTCTTTTGGGACTCCCAACTTCCTCCCTCTGCCTCCTGTACCAGAAGGATTCTCCAGGGTCTGTTTCCTCTGTTGTAATCCAGTGGCTGCTTCTTTCTCTCCACTGGTCCCCAGCTCATCACAGGCTGCTGCCATTGGCCGTTTTAGCTTTTGTGGTTGCAAAGATGATCCTCAAAAAGCTGAAAAAGCAGCCAAAGAGTAAGAAGAGTTTCCAGGAGAACGGAAATGAACTTTTTGGTGAGATTCATGAGAAACCTTGACACCACTGCAGCATATCAAAGGCAGGTCAACATCTTCTAGACTTTACAAACATAACGTTTGTTCCTCTGAGGCTAAACCCACACCCAAAATTTATGGACAAAGTAGCAAGCTTCTCTGGGGTTTTTCACTTTCTCCCCATGCCCATGTTCCTGTGCATCCCTGCAGGACAGGCAGTTCTGGTTAAATGTCGGTGTGTGAAAGCAGCCAGACCAAGAGAGATGCTGTTGGATTTGCACTGCTTTGCAGCCCTCGTGAAAACAGTCATGACAGCGCCCCAGTTAACAATCCATCCAGCCCCAGGTTTCGTGACAGGGAGGTGGAGAGCTCTGGGGAACTCCCAGCTGTTCTGCTTAGCCAGGTCCGGAAACCAGGTTTTGAATGAACATCAGGCTCCCAAGTGCTGGTGACACGCTGCACAGATAAAATCACTCGGAGCCCGAGGTGCAGGCGTTGTCTGAAACACACCATATGGCTGAGTTCAGGGTCGAGCATTGAGAGCAGATTGTCAGAATGTGGCATCTGGAGGCCCTGGGGCTCAATTTCCTGGAGTTGTTCTCTGTGCACACACTGCATCACCGTCCTGCTCTCTGAGCCCTGCCTTCGTCATAGCCGGTGCCTCCCTGGAAGTACGGGATGTCCTCTCACACGGTGTCAGAGCTTTACCAGCTGGAAATTTCCAGCCTTGGTGTGGATGGGTCGCCTCCCTCTTCTGTTAGCTGTAGACTTACAAAGAGACGTTCATATTTTAAATATGGTGCAATGACATCAATAGTAATAATTATTGCACGCATCAAAGCTTTGGAGATTAGCCACGGATCATGCATCTAAATGGCAAATGGTTATAATAGCTTCATACGTGAAACATCAAAGTCTGAGGAAACATTGCTCTGTTATAAAAAATACATCAGAATGATCATTCCACTCCAAGCAAAGTGCAGAACTGTAGACGTGCATGGAACAAATGCAACACATTTCATACTCATTTGGGTGTTTCAAGTATGGGAGAAATTGATTCCACAGCTCCAATTACCAATCCACATCAAGCGAAGACTGTATTGAAATTACGAGATTTCACACAATATTAGGCTTAAGTTGACTCCTCCTTGTGAAAACGTATTTATAATTAGGGCCTGGAAAAGCAAGAAGCAGTATTTGGGGTTTTAATTTTTTATACGCTCCCTGGCAGAGAGAGAAGTGGCTGAGATTGCATAAAATTCTTAAACCCACGATGTTTCAAGTATCCTTTTGCTGAATTGAAATGGTGTTCTCGTAGATTAAAGGAACTGCACTGTTGTTTTCTTTGTTAGGAGAAAAGTACTCCAATCCAAGAAAAGCACAGTCTCTCTACTGAGCCTGGGGACAGCTACTGGAATAAGAAAATGCAAAGCAGTCACTAGAACAACAGAACCTCTGAACTCAGCAACTGAAATTCTCAATTACAGACGTGCTGCTGTTTCTCCTTCCTCACCACGGCTCTTTAGCTTGATCACTGCCGCAGCCCCGGTGGGAGGAACGGTGTGAGGGATGCGGTGCCACGCACGCTCCGACAGCCGAATCAAAGGCCCAGCCAAGCCTGCGCCTCAGCTCGAGTCTGGAGGAAATCAGAGACCCTCATTAATGTTTCAGAAAAACCTAACTGGTATGAGGACAGCATTCAGAAATGTATTTGGGGAAAACAAATATTGTTTTAACTCTATTAATAATTGATGCATTGCCAGCAGAGATCCTCATAGCATTAAGGCAATTGAAAATTAAAGGCACAAAGACACTACTTTAAGAAAACATCTTGATAAATAATTAATATGGCATAGGCCTACTGGAATCTGAAGAGTGTAGGTTTTAGCTTGTCTTGTCAAACCTATGCTTTCTAATACCACAGTTTTTTTCCAGAATGAGAGCATGGTCATTTTCATTTTATATCCACAAAAGCTGCAGTTGTTTATGCTGCTCAGCTGGAATCCTTTCGTGGCCTCTCTGTCGGTTCCTTGTGCTGAGCCCCTGGGGTCCTAAGTAGCCCATACCCAAAGATCATGGCCTTCTTAAATCAAGAGGGAAAAAAGATTGGTGATTATTTCAAAACCAGAGGAGAACATGTCTGGTTCAGAGAAACTACTGCTTGTCAGAGTCAAACTGGATCAGAAGAAGCAGCCCTGGCAATGTCTGTTTGGCAATGTGTTGTATAAATAGCTGGGAGAGGTGTCTTGGGATGCGTAACACCCCGAACAGCTACTGCTTTAGTCTGTGTGTCTCCAGAGAGATGTATTTCAATGGTGAGGCCAATCGTGGGGACCACACTGAATAATTCAGCGGCTGGCACTTCTGTGCACTCTATCTGTGGGGGATCTTAAGGACAAGAAATAGTGCAAGCCAGCAATCCACAGGATACAGGCCCGTCAGTATGACTGAAGAAAGGCTGGACATAGAATGTGCTGGAGAAAGTAAATACAGAATTTCTGCATTTCCCTCCAGAGCAGCTCTCTGCCGCTGCTGTGAGCAGAAGCACTGTTCAGAGACAGGGCTGAAGAGTTTGCCTGCTGCACGGTTCCTAACACGGAGAGACACTGTAGTTTCACGACAGAATACTGAGTGCCGTGTTAACTAACAGGGTTTCTGCCATCTCTGAAAACCTGTGTGTTGCTGAAGGATGTACAAGCTCTTTAAAGTCTTGATTTATTCCAGTCCACTCCCTATCTTTTAGGTTATTATAATGAAGCAGCTAGTAAGTTAGGCATAATTGCTGTCAGGCATTCGAATTTAAGAAACTGCACAAAAGCATCCACAGCACTATATTTATCGTTTTATCCCTTTAAATAAAGCAGAAGTGAATGCTGCTTCTTCATTACAGATATCTCAGTGCTTTACATGTGGAGGGTTTGTTGATTGATGGAATTCATAAACACCCTTTATTTACTACACAAAGTTAATAATTAAGCAGAAAAGAGAATATCTGTGAATGCTGTTATAAAAATAATTCTTGCCCTAGTTCCAAGCAAAAAGCCAATGTAAATTAGTGATTGAGAACATAAGGGTGATCCACTAGAGCTATAAAGGGGAGTTCATTTTTTCCAGTCTGGGTAAATTCAGTGGCCGGACACTGGTGAGCGGTGTTACTCCGCCTGCAGCCGAGCGCGTTCTGTCCCCGGTGCTGCCCCTTTCCCCCATCCGTGTGCTGCATTCATTGCCTCTGCCCCTGCTGAGCCAGAGCTCCCCGCTCCCACTTGCTGTGCTCCCCGTCCCCATCCCACGGCTGCCACCGCTCCCCGTTCCTCGTGCGTCCTTGCTGTGGCTCCGTCCTGCCTCCAGGCCTGCCCTGCTCCGTGCCTCTGTCCTGCCTTCCTCTCCCTGCTCCTGCCTGGCGCTGCCGGCCCAGCATCGCTCCTGCTGGCTCCCTCCCTCTCGCTGCTTCACTCTCCGGGCGTCGCGGCCTTCTGTCCGCCCTACTGTGGGCTGGCAGGGCGAGCTTCCCGCCTGCCACACAGCCCTGGTGTTATTTAAAGGTGCTGACTTGGGGAGCCTCGTCCCCGTCAGGTGGAGCTGAGTCTGTCTGATTTAACAAAGCGGGGAAACAAGCCAGTCAGAGTTACCTCGATCTGAAGCGTATTCTAGGAGTGATTAGCTGCCTAAACTTACATTGTAATTATCTGTGCTGAGTGGCTTCTGCACATCATTGTCCATTTTTCTGAGTGTTTATTTAAGTTGATAATGGAAAATGAATAAAGCCTTAGTTCCACTCTGATTTTGACACTTGTGCCAGAAAATATCTGAAGATGGACATTTTTGTGTTCACAGTAGTTAGATTAATATTTAATTTGCTGGCATACAGCAAGCTGATTAGTTTTCCTCTGATATGGTTCAACTTTGTAATTACAGGAACTGGCTCCTCCTGGTTTGTGCCTGGGGTAAGAGGCTCAGAGACCATCCTGACATCACTGTGGTCACAGCTTCACCAGGCTGGCACACTGCAAGATTACGTCACCTGAAATCTTGGCTCCTGGAAAGAGGTACAGACTGGGACTGGTTCCATGTCTTCTGGGGATGGAGAAGATCTGTCTGTGCTTGCGGTTAGACTGGAGGGAAGGAGAGTGGGAACAAGATGAAGCCATGTGATGTCTGGAGGGAGGGAAGCCATGGGGACACAGTCTGTGGGGTGCTGCAGGCCGAGGGCAGACCCTGCAGTGCTGCAGCTTTGACAGTGGGGATGGACAGGGGCAGCCGGGACATGGGGGACCCCCCTTGGGATCCTGGGATGAGGCTGGGGAGCGCTGCAGGTGGGTGCTGCCAGTGAGAAGCCCCTGGACGAGCCCCAGCACCACCATGGAGTCAGTCTGAGGGGAGCTCAGTGTGGCAGGGGCCTCTCTTTTGCCACAGCCAGTAGCAGATGCTCATGAGAAACCAGAGCAGACAGGGCGTGGGTTACATGATTATTTGCCTGCGGTGCTCATAGATCCTGCTGAGGGTCCTGCTGGAGCAGTGGTTGTGCCAGACCGTCACACTGAACTGTGGGGCTGTGCTCCAGGAGCAGCACTGAAGCCTCTTGAAGCCTGTGGGTACACCCAGCTCCATGCCGTTCTGAGCAAAGGGCCACATTCGTTCCTGGGGCCGTACTGCCCTTCCTCGTTCAGCCGTATCGAACAATTTCACTGGCACCTCGTGGTTCCTGCATTGTGAAAACAGGGTAGTGCACGTTCGGTGTGCTGCAGTGATCCCTCCTGCTAGGAACAGTCCCACCCTCCCGACAGCATTTGTAGGCAAGTCATCTGCCTGGGTTTTGCTGGACCCCCCTGAGGTGGGCAAAGGCTGAAGCAAGAGGCAAACCCGCATCCTTGGTTCCCACCACCACATTCCTAGTGCTTCCTGCACGGATGGGACTACCACCTGCGGCTCGGTCATCCCAGTGATTAGGCCTTCCCTATTTGCTCAGAGAGCAACTGTGACTCAGAATCGGATTCATCCTTAGAATTAACCCATCTGTAATGTCCATTAAGTCTGGAGTCCTCTGGCCAGCCATGCAAAGTAACATCTCGTCTTAGTGCCATATTCATCTTGCATTGTCTGTTTTACCCAACTCCTAAGCACTCAGTAATAGCGAGACTGTCAGGGTGTAAGTTATTCATTAGTTTTCACTCACTTGAAGAATATATCGTTGTCATAATATGGCACATTGCACTGGGAACAAACTCCCCATGCAGACAGGGATTAGGGCCATTTTTCAAATGCTGCTGACTGTTAATTTGTGCATTGTTTGAAGGGAAAAGATCTTGTTAGAACTCCATTTTGAGCATTGCTTTGACAGAGCATGGGCAGTTTTTGCACCCTCTTGGCTAGCTAGGGGACACATGGGTGCTGGGGACAGGGATGCAGAGCACTGACCCCTGTGGCAGTGCATGCCCACTGCCGCATGCACACCTCTTGTTTGTGCACCCAAAGCTAATGGGGTGAACCCCATCAAACCCGCTTGTTAGCATCTGACTGTAAATAGCTGCTGGCAGCTCAGCTTCCATCCCTCACCACTGTCCTCCAGAACTGTCTGCCAAAACATGATCGGTGAGAAGTTCAGATATTTTGTTTAGCTGCAGTGCAACCCTGGCGAGGTGAGAAGAGCACCAGGCTAGTGCCACCATCATGGGTGCTAACCAGCCCACGGGCAGCTAGTCTGCTCAGGAGAGGGGTGGGAGGTAAGAGGGTTAGTCTGGTAAAACTGGGAAGGAAAAGCTAATCTTATGTGGAAAAGGTAAGATACTGCCAGTCTGGAGGCTGCTGCGGAGGGAACATGTCTGTGGTGGGATGGGCAACCATTTCATGGCAGCTGTAAGGTTGCTGTTGTGTCCTTGCCACTGAGGAGTGCTGGGACAAGGACATTCTCGGTGATGTTCTTGCTGAGACTCAGCGCAGCTCATTTCATGTGCAAAGGGCAAAGCAGGAGGTGTGCTGTGCCCCTGCAGAGCTGCCTTCCTGGGGATCTTGGGGAAGGCAGGTCAGGCAGCACCCTCGGGGCCGTCACCTCGTGTTGCCTCAGGCCAGAGGATGGTTGGGTTCAGGGGCAACTTAGTAATGGAAAGGAGAATTGATTTACATTCAGAACGGCTCCATTACTGAGCAGTTAGAGCAGATCTTCTTTGTATTCAAGCTGGATAATGTGGGGAGAGGGGAAGGAGTGGAGCTGTATGTCTGAGCCAGGACACTTGCTATCTCAGCTCTTCCCAGTGACTTTTCATCATCTGAACAGCTGCCCCTGGAGAGCTCTGGCAGGGAGGGGTGGCAGGTCCGGTACCGCTACAGCTCAGCCACCAGCTCCCACAAGATGAGTGTCCTCTTTGCTTCTAAACCAAAGCAGCAGGTGGAACAGTTGCTTTCTGAGCTGCAACGTGTTCTCTGGACTTCCTTCACAAAAGGCAGAAAAGCAAAATCTCTTAACCTCTGCTGTAGCTTGTAGCCTGCTTAAACACAGGTCTGGACTAGAACATTTGTTGCAGCTGTTCAGTGGCCCCTGATCTTCCCAGACCCATATGAACTGGAAAAAGCAAGTTGGGTTGTCTGCCCATGTGCCCTGAAGTACTGATACCTGTTAATTCCACACGCTTCGAAAGCCCTGGGATTGAACTACTGGATATGTAGAGAGAAGAGCAAATAAAGCCGACCATGATAGGTCCGTTTCATCTAGATAACATTCTGATAAGGCCTGGTTTATGACCTTTATGTCTGAGGGGCAGGCAAGCCTTGTGGGGTCTCACCTTCATCCCAGTCATAAAGGCAGAAGGAGGCTTTGGGAAAGGAGAGGCAGGAATGCTGCTTGCCAGGGGGTCTCTGAGTGCCTCTTCCCAAGCGCTGTGGCCAGCGGGCCCTGGGGCCGTCGCTCCGTCCTGGCTCACACGCGCTGCCCCGGGCACGGCCACAGCGCTCACCCGTGTTCACCTTTGCAGTGTCTGGCCTCCTTCCTCGGGCAGCCGCCGTCGTATAACAGCCCAGGCTGAAACTACGTCATCGGTGACAAGAACAGAATGAGCATCACCTGTGAAATGGGGACAAATAATAAGGCAAGACAAACACAAGGCACACAGAGGGTAATTAAACCACAATACCTAGGGATGTATCTAAATGAAAAAGATAATCTTCACACTGAAATTGCAAAATGATGCATCTCAGTGTGTTAATCCTGCCCAAGTCAGCAGTGCCTAAAGAGCCGCTGACTTCATCTGCTGGCCCCAGGGAGTGTGACGGGGGAGCAGAGCAGCAGACCTTGGGTGTCCCTGTGCTGTGGGTGGGGGAGCCCGGCCTGCTGCAGCCCCCGTGTCGGGCCCAGCTCCCCGCGGGTGGGGAGGGAGCAGCCAGCGCAGGATTTCCCCAGCAAAGCTCCTTCAGGCAGCTGCTGTGCTGCGGCTGCCATTTCCTCAGATTGTTCCGCCGGGTTCTGAAGTAGGGGAAGAAACCAGAGCCAATGCAGATCAAAATCTTGGCCTCCAGCACCTTTCATGGGGAACTTGGAGTGAAATCACGGAAATCTTCCAGGAGATTGGTTCATTTTAATGATCTAGGATTATAGTTTTGTCTGTTTAATTCAACCTGATTGACATAATACCTTTCATTTGGACTTATTACCAGCAGAGCAGTTAGTCAGTTGGAAGCAGACCTAGGGCAGGGCATTTTGTCATTATTTTAAATTTTCTCTGTCTGACAAAATTGAAGGCCTTGAAAAGACTAGAGCCATTGTAAAGGATAGAGCATCAGAGAATAGGTCACACAGTGTATTAAAGAATGAAAATTGATTCATTCTTTCCTCTGTTGAATAAGCAGCTGTACTTTGGTCCCTGTGATCCATGAAATAAGCTGTCAGGGAAATAGGAAATGTGCCACATTTGAACTTCAGTCATTGATTCTGTTCTGATCTGAGGTGCAGGATTAAAATGCATTACGGTGGGTGCAGAACCTGCAGCAGTGACAGCAGCTAGGCCTAGCTTGCTAGTCAGTTGCCCGGGCTATTTATTACTAAATTAATCAGTGCTTTACAGTGCTGGGACTCATTTACTTAGGTCATCTGGTCAGAGCCAGCTAACAGGAGGAATTTCACAAAAGCGACATTTGTTAGTTTTAAATAAAATCAAAGTCTACAGAAGAGGCGCAGGAGGAGTGGTTCTAACAAGATCTATTGGCCCTTTTATCTGGAGAAACAGTTTTCAGGCAATTCAGAGATTGTGACAGTAATCAATGTAAGAAGGGGTAGCAGAGACTTCTCGAATACGCGATTACTAGCTGGAGCACGTTCGGCGAATTAATGCCTGCAACTGTAATAGACTGCTTAGCTGCAAAATTAAATGGAGGACATTCCCATTATTGCATAAAAACAATACCCAGTTTCATTTTTTATAACACACCTTCCTTTACACAACTTTTCCCAAGTAAAAGAATTAACCTTGTTGTGGTGTCCTTAAGTAGCACACAGAGGGCTGCCTGCAACTAGTACTTGCTGGGGTAAGGCTGTTTTATCCACACTGAAGTGTCTTTTGTGAGTTCTTACAAGTTTTATTAAATAAAACATCATTTTTGCTGCCTTTTCTTTATTTGCCTCAAAATTGTGATTCATAAAGATGGATTTTTATAATTAAGGTAGAAATGAGAAATACCCCCCTATATATAATTTAAAATGTTGAAATTATAGACACTATCTAACTTCTGCTTTAAATCACAGGAACAAACTGTTCCCCATTAGCAGCCCTAATTAAATCCATTTTTCTATGAGTCTTTGGCAAATTCCATTTTAGTAAAGCTGTATTAAGCTCTCTTTTATTTCTTCTTGCTTTGCAGAATTCTCTGTTTGAGATGAGTAATAGGTTGAGTATGGTATGTGACGGCACTCTAGACTCTGAAGAAATAACATGGACAAATACCTCGTCGAAGGGCCGGCATCTGAGCACACCCCAGCTGCCGGGCAGGTAGGAGCACTACCTTTTTGTACGTGGGCAAGAACTGTCAGACAACTTGTGGCGAAGAGGCAGCGGGGAGGTGGGGGAGGCTTGGGGAAGGGGCAGAGGGAGGGGACTGCAGCGAGCAGCGAGCTGTTCCCCGGCACAGCGCGCTCGGGCGTTGCGCTCCGGCCCCCGCGGCTGTGCCCTGCTGGCGCTGTCCTGGGCCTTCCACGAGGAACCAGCGGCTGCAGAGGAGTGGGGAGGAGAGGGCTTTGTGAGGACAGCCAGCCCTGCTGTTCTCCAGTGTGTACGGTCACGTGGAGATGTGTTTTCTGCAAGGCTTTGCCGAGTTGCCTGTGGCATCTGTCGGGGTCTTTGTGTCAAACCTGTCTAGCAGGGGCCGTGCTCCTGCTGAACTCAGACCTGTTTCTGCTTGTAAATCAAAACCTGGCCTGGGTCACTGGTCCTGTGCACAGACAGCGTTATCAGGGAGATGCTCACTGATGACTTGGCTGAGGAAGCAGTGCACAGACCAGAGAACCCCCTGAAACAGCCTCTCATTTTGCAGTCCTTGTGTGTGAAGATTAACTTACTCCCAGTAACCTGCCACAGTCCCAGAGCAGCAGGCTCACTCCTATCCTCAAGCGCCTCCATCATTCATTTACTGTAACGATTGGCTTCAGCCTTCGATTTCCTCTGTGGAGCATATTGGAAAGAGAGAGGCTGAGCTGTGAGCATTAATAACAATGAATAATAACAGTACGAGTTCCACAAGCTTTAACAATCAAATGAATCAACAATCAGGAGAGTTTCATTAATAAATGCTTGCTGGGGTTAGATGACAAGAGAACTAGTGCCAGAGGTGTGTTTATCAGTTAAAGGCACGTATCCTGTGTGATCTACCTCTCAGCCCCTTGGCTTACCTGGTGGGTCCCGTGTTCTCCTCCGTGATCTGCTGTGCCGGGGCAGGGGCCAGAAGGATCAAAGGAGCAGACAGCTTGGGCTGTGTTGCTCTGTTGGTGCCTGTATTGGGTTGATGTGGAGAGGGTTTGGTAGCAGGGGGGCTGTGAGGGTGGCTTCTGTGAGAAGTTGCCAGAAACTGCCCCCAGGCTGGACAGAGGCAGTTCCAGCCAGCCCCAGGATGGAGCTACCGCTGGCCAGAGCTGAGCCCATCGGTGATGGTGGTAGCACCTCTGGGATAACATATTTAAGAAGGGGTAAAAACTGTTGCACAGCAGCAGCCAGGAGAGAGGAGTGAGAAAACGTGAGAGAAACAACTCTGTGGACACCCGGGTAAGTGAAGGAGGGGCAGGAGATGCTCCAGGCGCCGAGCAGAGGCTCCCCAGCAGCCCGGGGGGCAGCCCCTGGTGAGGCAGCTCTGCCCTGCGCCCACAGAGGTTCATGGAGCAGCAAATGCCCACCCACAGCTCGGGGGGGGACCCCACGGAGCAGGGGGATGCCTGAAGGAGGCTGTGACCCCGTGGGAAGCCCGTGCTGGAGCGGGCTCCTGGCAGGACCTGTGGCCCCGTGGAGAGGAGGGAGCCCACGCTGGAGCAGGTGAAGAGCGTGAGGAGGAAGGAGCGGCAGAGACAGTGTGTGATGAACTGACCGTAACCTCCATTCCCCGTCCCCCTGTGCCACTCAGGGGGAGAAGGAAGAGAAGGGGGTGAAGTTGAGCCCATGAAGAAGGAAGGGGTAGGGGGAAGGTGTTTTTAGATCTGTGCTTATTTCTCATTATCCTACTCTATTTTGATTGGCAATAAATTAAATTTATTTCTCCGAGTCCGTTTTGCCCGTGACGGTAATTGCTGAGTGATGTCCCTGTCATCTCGATCCGTGAGCCTCTTGTGGTATTTTGTCCCCCAGTTCCTGTTGAGGAGGGGAGTGACAGAGCAGTTGGGTGCGCCCCTGGCTGCCAGCCGAGGCCAGTGCCCCGTGTCACGCCGCAGGGAGCCTGTGCCCTTCCGGGCCCAGGAGGTGGGTGCTGCCTCCTCTCGGCTTCTGGCCCACACCCAGAAATCCCCGTTGGGTGCAGTGACACGTGCCACCCCTAGTCCTCTGCCTTTGTCTTCTTGTGGTGCCGTAGGGAGCGTGTCCTGCTGCACAGGCAGTGGTGCAGGGCCTGGGGTGACTTGTGCTCCCTGAAAGCACAGCCTGGAGTGGGTAAACAGAAGCTGGTGTAATGATCTGCCATAGGAGCAGTTTCTTTGCAACTTGGGGTAAAATACTCCCCTTCCAGAGCCACCAGAGTAAAAGCTGGGAAAGACCTCTTAGGTTAGAGCGTGTTCCCCTCAGGACAGGGTGAGAGGTGCAGGGTAGGGCTGTGTAGCTCAGCTTTTGCAGCTTTCTCTTTGGGTGAGCTGAACCTGGGCTGGTTTATAACCTTTTATAGAGAGCAAATTTCTGCGCCAAGACGAGCAGCCCTGGCCATTAGGCTTTTACGAGCAGCAACAAAAGGAAATGCAGGCTTTGTTCAGTCTGGTTTGAAATCCAGCATAGAGCAATTGTAATTCAGCTAAGGAGGGTTTGAGGGCCAACTACCAATGTGTTCATCATTTCAGGAAAAGAGAATGACATCTTCTGTAATCATGATTAAAGGAGCTGTTAATGTCTCTTTCAGGTTTTCCTGTTACCTTAAAAGCAGGAGATGTGGTTTTCTCTCTTGGGAATTTGCAGCAAACACGTCATGTGCCTTTTTTGACTATTTGAAGTCAATTTTGTGAACTTCCATGTTTTAAATAATACAAACTATTTTCTGCTAGAAGCCCTGTCTCAAGACACATGATGCTAACAGAAAGGACAGTTGGTTTTGAGAAAAATCACAGAGTTCAGGGGTAAAAGAGCTCTCTGCAGTTACAAGGGGTAAAGCTGTTGCACTGAGGATCTGTGCAAGTTAGGCTGCCTGCCAGGAAAAGATGCCTCCCTTACAAAGGTGTGGGGTTTCACCACAAAGACAGGGACTGTGAACCTCATTCCAGTGTGTCATCTCACCGGTTCCTGCTGCTTTTTTGCATTCAAGTGACTCTGCTCCAGTCTTTGAACCTCCTCCACCCCACCATGCCTGGCATGTAGAAGCTTTCATCAGGTTCCACATCACGACTAATTACACAGCACACTGCAGATGCTTGCAGTGAGCAGGCTTTAGAATGGCTTTTTTGGCTAGGGCAAGCGTGTACGCTGCTGGGCTAGCAGACCTGGGCTACCTCTGGGTGAGTGCGGAGAATGTTTCACATGGAATGACAGAGCTAAGGCTGTCACATACCTGTGCCCACAATGAATTAATTCTGTGCACACCTGGCCCCTGCGTGGCAGTAATGGAAGTGGTGCTGGCTCAGGTGAAGCTTCACAGTAAAGGAAAAGTGCGGATTGGCACTTGATTTCTGAGAGCTTGGTGCCTTCCTTCTTTTCTGGCTCCAGTCGGAGCGTCTCTGCGCTTGCGTCCCGCCAGGACAGTGCTTCACCTTCTGTCTGAGGCTCTGCTGCAGTGCCGGCGGGCAGGGCACCGCTTCTCAGCGCCGCCCAGATCGACCAGCTGCACACAGCTGCTTCTGCCTGGTTGGGTGTGGGTAAAGGGATCCCACACCAATGCTAATGCTGCAAAGGCCACATGTTATCTAAATTAAATAATAGTAATGATTTAATAACGATGCTGTTAACGATTATGAACTCAGCCAGGATTTCAGCCTGTTCAGTCTGTTCTGAGGGTGGGACTCGCCTCTTCTCCTGCTGTGACAAGCTAGTATCAGGATGACTGTTGTTTTTTCAGCAGAAGGCTGCACAGTGTGCCATGCTGGACATTTCTAAGGACTCAGCAGTTATGTCACAGCCGTCTGCTTTCCCCACGCGTCTGTGTGCATCATTGCTTGATTGTGTCGGTAGCTCTGTTACATCTTGCTCTAGCAGTCTGTTGGATTTCACTCTTTACCTACAGTCTGTTTTCCAGTGCTCTCAAGATCAGCGTAAGGGCATCTTCACTCCTTTTCTGGGACATATCTGGGACTCTTGACAGACATGGTCCCTGTGTGTTGGTAATTCAACGGGAGATCCCTGGGGAAGGCAAGAGTCATGGAGCAGCCCTGGAATGTTTAATATTGGTTAAAAGTGACCAATGCAGATATGAATTATTAAATCTATTAGCATGGGGCTGCCATAATGAAGTGTCAAATTCTTCACGAAACCAATTCCTATTAAAAAGACCTAAGATTAAAAGCAGGGTAGATTCTAAAATGATGGAATCTGAGAAGAATGAGGGAACACAGTATTGATCATCCACACCAGTCATGTCTGTTTCTATTTAGAAATATGTAAACCAGATTAATGAATTAATGATTCAGTGTCAAAAAGGGGCCCAGAGGGAGCAAGTCCTGTGACTGTAAAAGCCTCAGCACCGTTGGTTGCTGGTAAGAAGATGGCAGTGGGTGAGGGGCTGAGTGGCAGTGGTTTCAAAACCCCAGCACAGGCAGGACAGGACGGGGGGTATCAGATTTTAAGGCTGTGACAGCGAAGGGGCACTCAGCAGGGAACACAGAGGTAAGAGATAACCAGCTGTATCTTCCACTGGGTTGAGGTTCAAGTTTTCCAGCTCAGGCTTTAACAGTCGTGGTCAGGCTGCCAGGCACCCACCAAGCTGCTCCCTCATTGCCCCCTCTCAGCAAGACAGGGGAGAAAATAAGATGAAAAAGCTCTGAGTGTAAGGACAGAAAGATCACTTACCAGTTACCAACACAGGCAAAACAGACTTGACCTGGGGAAGATTAATGTAATTTATTGGGAATTAGAATAGGATAGTGAGAAAGAAAAACAGCACTAAAACACCTTCCCTGCACCCTCCCCTCTTCCCAGGCTCAGCTTCACTCCCAGCTCCCCTCCCTCCTCTGTCCGTGCAGTGCTGGGGGATGTGGAATGGGGATTGGGGTCAGTTCATTGGCCTTTGTTTTGGGGCTCCTTCCCCCTGATGCTCCAGTCCCTCCACGGGTGACAGTCCTGCAGGACTGGGACTGCTGGACCCCTAGAACC